AGGTAGCTCTGGTGCACAATGGCACACCGTACCACCGTGCCACACCCCCGACCATTATTTTTTCTTGGGAAGGGAATGCCGCCTGGTGGAAAGTAAGGTAAGAAGATGAGGTAGGAAGGGGGGGGGCGGGCAGGAGAAGTGGTAGTTTAAGCCCCGCTGCTGCTGCTGCTTCAGGACACGATGTGACCGAGCCGAAATTATTATATTATGGTGGTGGAGCCGAGCTGGGACCACCTGAACAAAAGAGAGGCAGTATGGTGCCCCCCGGACGTGGCCGGTGCGTCGCAGGGCGTGGCAGGGCGTGGCGTGGCGGGGCGCGTTGTGAGTGGGAGCGGCCAGCCCATTCCTCCTTGGCCCTGGCCCTGGCCGACGCCGCAGCTCCGGTGTCCTTGACTTTGACTCCTCCTGCACCGGTGGCGTGGCGCGGCGTGGCGCGTCGGCGCCGCGGTCGGCGCCTTCACTCGTATATATATACACCAGGTCCTGCGCGGTCCTGCGTAGCGGACTTGTGCGGTCGACAACCTGTCTCTCTGTGTACCGCGACGCTGTCCTTTGCCAATCACTGCCTCTGCTGCTGTCGATGCCGCCGGCCCGCGCCGTCTCCTCGTCTTTATATATTGATCGCAGTTAGGTGTTCGCGATAAGTTCCCATACCGCTGCGTTCGAAAATATTGGCTGGAATTCACAGTCGCGTCCTGCTCTGCGTTTACATCTGTGCCTCGCGTAGGGGCGACTAACTGTGTTGTCTGCACCGGAAAAACAAACAAAGGCTAATGACTTTCTAAAGGCCTTAGTGAATTAGTGCCTTTGCAAAGTGTGATATTTTTTGGTATTTAAGTGCCTCCACAAAGGCATTAGTGCCGTAGCAGCTTTGTTTTCCCAATGAATCAGCACGGTCGTCGTCAGTTAGTAGGCAGCCCGCCCGCACACCTGCATGCAGTTGCCCACCGTGCACGGGGCTCCTCGTCGACAGCAGGAAAACCCTGCGGATGATTTAGGCCATCAATAGCACCGTGGCACCTGGTGGTCTGGTATCACCAGCACAGGACCAGGCACACGCCGTTAGCGTGGCCCACTGCCCCGCGGCGGATGTGTTGTGAGGCCGCGCTCTTGCGTTTGGTTGTGCGCGCACTCACACAGACGCACGCACACGCCTTGTGGTTTGAACCGTGTGCGAATAGCATCGATAATCAACGTAACAGGACTCCTCGTGGAACTGGTCACGCTGGACCCCGCGGACGGGTCGCTGAGGGGGAGGAAGGGGGAGAGGGGTTGCTTCCTCCGGCGCGCTGCGAAGGATGCGGCCTTGGCCGTGCGGTGGTGGCGGCCACGGTGCGGTGATGGTGTGGACCCCGGGCCGGGACTCGACCGGATCGACCAGTACGATCGTTTGCAAGCCAAAGAGATCCCCCCCGTGTGGTTCAGGTTGTGGTTCTCGTATTCCGCCCACTGCTCTCTGCGGCTGGCAATGATGCAGTGTGGTCCAAAGTCGACGAGGCGTAGTAACCCGCAAAAAAGTAACCCTCTTTTCTAAAATTTTCGAAAAATAACTCCTAAAAAGACTTTAAAATGTAAAAATACGATTTTTTTCAAAAAACTAGTCGATTTGAACTGCCCTTCGCGCCGAGAGCAGCAATGCCTCCGCCTCGTCCATTTGTGCCCACCTGACCCGGTCCAGCGCCAGGTCCAGCTAGAGACGCCTGCTCCGCCGCCTGCTCCGCCGCCTGCTCCGCGGCCAGTTCGCTGGCCTGCTGGCGCGGTACCGTTCGTCTGTTCGCTCCCCTCAGCCGCGCGCTCACTCCTCCTCGACTCGACACAACAACCTGTCGGGATGGATGGACGGCACGGGGGGAAAAAATTGTGTTCGATAGACATCGCCGCTACTCGGCTGCCGGCGCTGCTGCTGTGTAGCCTCTGCCCCCGCCGAAATTCCCCGGTAATTATTAGCATATTATTGGAGGGCCTAACGGCCGAGCCTGCCCCGCCCCACAGCTAGGGGACGCGTTTGGCCGGTGTTTGCAGCCCGTCTGGTTTCGGAGTAGATGGCCCGGCGCCGTACCGGGGGAATTCCCCCACAATACACATAGCTCTCTGCTCTGGATCGCATGTCCGTCGTTACATGTGTATCGAGGGGAAAGTAGGCGAATGTCAATGTGTGGTCATGCACTGCTCCGGCCCGCCCGGCCTCGCCCACCACCGCCGCGCGGGTGACGAAAAACCGGGGCTGTACACAGCTGTGCACCCCCGTGCCGCCCCGTCTAGTATACCGCAACACTGACCTGGCAATCGCCATCATACAAACGTGGACATGTATTGGTTGTCCCGACGCTGTTGCAGTTTTATTTAATTTTAAATCTATGTATGCTGCTGTTTTCTTGCTGTTTGGAAACATCACATGCGGTTCGTATTTTTTTATATCAATTATTAGATCAAATATTCGCTCCTTCATCGGAATACTACTTTTTTGTAAACATGTATCTTTCATCCCAATGTAATGTAATGTGCACTACATTGGTCGAGGTGAAAACTAATTCCAACCTTTTAATTTCTCCCCGCGTGTTACAACCGACCTTGCCCATGAAAGTAAAAAGTCGGCATCAGAGTCTTTCGCCGCTGTGACCCGCATCATCGTCATCACCATTATACCCTTTCAATTTCCTCCGTCCCGTCGGGTGCGTCGTGCGCCCCTCTCTGCCCCGCGGCGGTAAAGTGGGGCTGGACCAAGACCAGGAGGCTGTGCGCTTATCTCTGTATGCGATGCCGAAAGCGAGATGTAGGCTACTGCTGCTGCTGCTGTTGCTGCCGCAGCTCTCGGTGCCACATACCGAAATTTCTCCCTCTCTGTCGTGCTGCAGGTCGAGGTCGGGCCGCCGCCGTCGCATCATCTAGGTCCTCGCCGTGCCGCCGTGCGGCCGCGCCGTCTCATTTCTTTTTTGTTGTGCGTAGCTATGTCAGCGCCGATGCACTTTTGCCTTCCGCGAAAGATCCGAATCTGTGTCGTTCGTTAGTGTTTGCCCTGCTGTCATGGTGTTGTCTTCGTTGTTTTTTTTATCGAGAGCTAGAGGCCTCTCGTCGTGATCTTCAGGATGCACGACAAGTAAATCCTGGAAGGTTATTGGAAAAACACAACAGAGCAAGGTGTAGGACAAGTAGTGTATTGTTTGGTAAACAACGACAAACAGATCGTCGGCAGCGGCGTCGTCCTCCTGCCCCGGTGACTGCCGCCGTCTGCAGAGGATTTTGGTTTCACTTGGCCCTTGGCCCGGCCGCGAGCCGGGGGGCCCGACGTGCCGCCTATCCGCCCATTCCCTTTCCGTCACTGTCGGTGTCGTTAACCACGCAGAGCGGCGGCGCGGGCGGTGCGGGGCGGTGCGGGGCCGCCGCCGGAGGAAGCCGGGCTCTGCGATTAGTTTTAGTGGAGTGCGCAGGACTGACTCCCCGGCCGGCGGGGCGGGGCGCGGTCCCATTCCTGACCGCCATCATCGCCCTGCTGCCTTAAAGCGGCTCGACCTTTATAGTGGTTGTTGTTTCCATGGCACATCATCATGCGTGCGAGAGAGACGGCTGCTCTCGCGGGTTGTTTTCGGTTCATACCTCCGCGCGCCGCCGCCGCCGCCGAGTGCCAAGCGCTGCTGCTGTTGTTGTCGATGTTATGTGTGCGCAAGGGCGGGAATGCGTTATTGCTGCTCGCGTCCTGCCCGCCGCGCCGTTAGAGTAATTGACGCAACCGAATGACGGCCGCGCTTGCCATCCTTGTCGGGACGACGCGCGGGAGATTTGAATTCTGGCCGCGGCGTTATGCGACGCGCTCGCCGCGGCGGCGGCGCCGGCCTGCTGACCGCCGCGGCGCCGCCGGGGACCGGCCTCTGATGGCGTCAGGAGGAGAGCGGGGAGGGGAGGGGGTGTTGTTTTTGAACGCAAGCCGCGCCACCGCCTGTCGGCTGTTGGTTTTAGCGGGGCGGGGCGGGCTCGTCCCGTTAGGAATGCTGGTGTGATGGGGAGTGGCTTGGGG